CTCTCTCTCTCTCTCTCTCTCTCTCTCTCTCTCTCTCTCTCTCTCTCTCTCTCTCTCTCCCCAAAGTGAAGATGGAAGTAGGATCATCGTCTAAGAAGCATAATTCTCGTCTGTGATTGTGTTTTTGTGGCTTACTGGCGAGGATAGCGCAAGCTTGGACAGACAAAAACCCAGAGAGACGATTTTATGGCTGCCCACGTTATAAGGTATGCGGTATGGTAACTGAACTTTCAAATATAGATTTTAAATGGTATTTGGACCTTGTGGCAGAGTGGAGATGAATGCAATTACTTCTCTTGGTTTGATGAAGAGGAAGGTACAAAATGGCAAACAAGAGCTTGGACTGAAGCCCGTGATGAGATCTGGGAGAAGGACATAGTCATTGAGAAGTTAAAGAAACCATTTCAAGATAGAGAGATGAAGATTAAATTGTAAGGAGGTTTGAAGATTTTTATGTTTAAGGATCGTGTGTTAGAAATGTATTATGAAACTCTTAAACCTATGTATAATCTAATTTGTTCTTAAGAATAACTACGAATAACTAGTAAAAGTAGTAAAGAACAGCTATGAATAACTAGTAAAACTAACGAAGAATAACTACGGAAAACTCGTAAAACTAGCATAAGATCCAGAAATGAGAACATAATCCAAACAACATAAGTCATAATATCGTACAAGACAAAGAGGAAATCAAACAACACCAAACAACATAAGGAGATCTCCAACAAAAGTCTTAATATCGTACAAGACACTCATGAAAACAAACACATAAGCTTCTTCTGCTGAGAAATCTCACCCATGAGGAATAAGCTTCATGAGCTCAGGAATCTCTTTAGCCACCTCACGCTTCAAGCGACAAACCTCTTCCTCAACTCCGATAACCCAAGATTGCCGGAAATGGAGCCCATCGCACTGTAAGTGAAGATATTTTAATTCAAATCCAGAAAACTTTAAATTTTTAAAAATTGAAGAGATATAGAGATCCAAATCACCTTGAACCTCCTGCAAGTGAAGAACGTTCTCCCATGGCAGAAATCCTTATCTTTCAGATTAATAGATCCTCGTCGACAATTATTGCCCCACATATCTCCCGCATAAAATACACTTGACCCGCACCTGCACCCGCAACTTAATTTTTTCAAATCGATCCTTCCGTTCCATGGCTGGTCAAACGGGGTGGGACTCGCGGCTAATATCAAAATTCCGAGCTCTAACTACACCAATTAAGGCTGATGAGTTTATTTTTGAAAGAAACTTCACACATAATTAGAAGGTAAATTTAACCCATTAATGAAATCCATTGGTATATAGTTTTTAAGGTCCAGAAAAAGACATAATTCCATTAATGAAAAATTAATTATGTTCATAAAAATAAGGGTATAATTGGAAAATATAAAAAATTTCATTAAACAGAATATTTATATTTTAATGGTATTGATCTTTTGGTCATTTTCTCATTTGATGGCTTTTTAGTGACAAAAACTTTAAAAAAAAAAAATTGAGAAAATTTCCCAAGAGAATTAACTTGCATACATAGTATCGGCTTAACGAAGATATATCGAAATATCTTTTCCAGAAAAATAATCAACCTTTGGAACCAAACTAAGTTGTACAGATAATACTTGTAAACTATAAATAGAAATAAACCTTGTTTTACAAACTACTTCCGTAAAAATAACTTCGAAAAATTATTACAGAAAAGTTCTTAAAACAAAACTAAATAGTGTTATACAAACAACTTCTGTAAAATTAACTTCAATAACATTTTATGAAAGTATTTTGTCAAATAAAATAATACTGTGTTTTATAAAACTGCTCTGTAAAACTAACTTTGACAATGTTTTACAAAACAGCTTTCGTAAAATTAAATTAAATAATTTCATATGAAACAACATTTGTAAAGTTAACTTCAAATTTTTTTCACGAAATAGCTTTCTTAAACTTAAATTAAACAGTTTTATAGAAAACAACTTTTGTAAAACTAACTTAAATAAGATTATAGAAAAACAGATTTCATAAAATAGAACTAAATTTCTATGATAAGCTTCTGTTAAACCGACAACAATTTATGAATCAATTATCGTAATAAGAAATACTTTTTTAAAAAATATATATTATTTTAAAAATGTGTAACTGTACACATAGCACATAAAAACTCATAATTTCTGTTAGGGAGTTATTTGTGAAATAACAAAAAAAAAAAACAAAATTAGTATTTGAGTGTGTTAGGAAGAGAAAATGGTAGAGGCAATAAGATTTGATTAGTTCTGTGAGTTTTGGTTTTCTTTACTAAGTTCTTAGGTGCAATTTCTCTTCTGTTAATCAATAAACCATTTTTCTAGACAAAAATACATTCTGTAGTTTTCGACCGTATATAGTGAAGTAAAAGAAATAAAAAAGAAACTTTCTCCGCCACGCATCTTCTGGGTTGGCAATGACACGTCAGCAATTAAAGAAAAAGACGTATTTAATCACGTCGTCGACATATAGCCAGCGTTTACGTCTCTCTCCCCGACTCAATCGCTCTTCTCACCGACGAAAGATCGGCGGAATCTCCTCTTCGCTGTTACCGGTAGCTCCATCCCATGAATCCTGAATAGTAAGAAACGCTCCTCATCAGATCGATTTAGCGTCTTTGAATTATGCTTCTTTTTGGTCTGATCGTGTCTTAGAAGAATGATAATCTTACCAATTTTTGCTTTGTTATTCTACTTAATCGTGTTTTTGATTAGATCTACTGAAATTTGGTTGAGATCTGTTTTTTATTGCTTGAATAAACAGATGATTTCGGTTTATATAAAATAATAACTGTTCTTGTTACATGTGTCTTATGCAGTGACTATCTGTTCAAGCTTTTGCTAATTGGTGATTCTGGTGTTGGCAAATCATGCTTGCTTCTGAGGTTTGCTGTAAGTTCTTTTCTCTCTCTTTCTCTATACTATTTCATGTTCACCATTTAAGCTCAGGGCTCAATTTTTTTTTTTTTTTTTTTTTGTGTTGTGCAGGATGATTCCTACCTGGATAGCTACATCAGCACCATTGGTGTTGACTTTGTAAGCCTCTTCTACCACTTTATCAATTGGTTATGCGTACAATCATTACAAGTAGCAATGATCTTTTGCAGAAAATCCGCACTGTTGAACAAGATGGAAAAACCATCAAACTCCAGATTGTAAGTTGCCCTGAGTCGTGTCAGATCACCCAGATTTTTCACATGCTCGCTCTGTTTCTTTTCTTTTTATTATTATCACCAATTATGCAGTGGGACACGGCAGGTCAAGAGCGTTTCAGAACGATCACTAGCAGTTACTACAGAGGAGCTCATGGAATCATTGTATGCTCATTATCACACTAGCATTACTAATCTCCCTGATATATCTGACATCCATCAAATGAGACTCTGAAACGTTTTTTTTTGTTGTCAGGTGACTTATGATGTAACAGACCAAGAAAGCTTCAACAATGTCAAGCAATGGCTAAATGAAATCGACCGATACGCCAGTGAGAATGTGAACAAGCTACTGGTTGGGAACAAGTGTGATCTCACATCACAGAAAGTTGTATCTACTGAAACAGCCAAGGTAAATATACTCCTCAAATTCGTCACCGTTGAGGTTTCTTTATTCTTGTCTTGAAGATTTACTGTAATGTTTGTTCTGCCAACATAGGCTTTCGCAGATGAACTTGGGATCCCGTTCTTGGAAACAAGTGCCAAGAATGCTACCAATGTTGAAGAAACTTTCATGGCTATGACTGCTGCAATCAAGACAAGGTAACTCATACAATTCATTACTATCCATGGACTCATCATCTTCTGAGTGGTCAAACTTGACTTTTTCCTTGCAGAATGGCGAGCCAGCCTACTGGAGGATCCAAGCCATCAACCGTCCAGATCCGAGGACAACCTGTAAACCAGCAATCAGGCTGCTGCTCTTCTTGATTCGCTTTTGGAACACTTTACCATATACTATATCATATGTTTGTTTGCATGTAAGACATCTGAACAACGTTGATTTCATCTTTTTTTTTTGTTTTTTCAGTCATTTTTTATGCCCATAAGATTCTAAATTCTTTTGTAATGTACTTGGAACAATAAGCTCCCTTAGTTAAAGTTTTTCATGCATACTAAATCTAATTGGCTCTTTTTATTAATAAGCTTAAATGAAGCTAAAACATTAAACCAACGAAGAAAGGATCTTTTTCTGGCTCATGTAACTTAACAAAAACTACCAAACTGGGTTTGTAGAAAAAACGCCTTGGATGAGTATAACAATCACAATAGAATCAGAAGAACAAAAAACCAAGGGAGAGTTTACAAAGACAAGAGTCCAGGCCAGGGCTGCGGGACCAAACCGAAGAGTGCCTTACTTGCCCAAGGTAGGGAACTGCGCAGCGTCTTCAATTTTTGGCGCAGGAGCGACAAATTTTGGTGCCGCAGCTCTCTGGTTTCCTTCTCCGTCGGCTCCTCTTGGTCCACGACCTCCTCTGTCAGCTCCAGCTCTTGGTCCACGACCTCCTCTTCCCTCGGCTCCTTCTCTTGGTCCACGACCTCCACGTCCTTCCCTTCCACCACGGTAACCACCCCTGTATTTCTCTCCATTGGCAGGTTTCAAAAACTCATTTATGCTCAACGACTACAAAAAAACACATAAACATGTATCAGCATGTGGAAGAATTTGAACAAAAATGTATAACCACTGGTAGTAAGTTACTTAAACGGGAAAACATTAGTAAACTAGCGACCTTCTTGGTCTTCTCTTCTTTCTCAACCGGGCGCTTGTCCTTCTCTGTTCCCTGATAACACCACCATTTCAAGTTTCAGTAAGCACACACTTGATTACAGTAGAAGGCTGAAGATTACCCTGACCAAAATGAAATACTGAAGAATTGAGATAACTCACCAGTTTGATGAAGACCTCGTCGTTGTTGCTCTTTTTGCTTGAGAGCTGTTGCATGGTCTCAAACGCCTTTGTGTCAACCTTCCTCTCCTCTATCTTGGTTGCCTGCAGAGCTTTCCTCTTCTCCTCCAAAACCTTCTCATACTCTTCCAAAGTCATCTCCTACATATAGAAAATCACTATTAGATCACAAACGTTATCTTATTAAGCTGTTATTAATAGAACTATTTTCAAAAAGCTGATACTGCACCTTGTCCTCTGGCTCTTTCTCAGCTTGAGCTTCAACAGGTGTCTCTTTGTTTGCATCAGTTGCTTCACCTTCACCACCTTCCTTCTCAACAGCCAAACTCTTCTCCACCACTGCTGCGGATTCTTCAGTCACTCTATTGATTGCAACGATAAGAGTTTATATTCAAGACCCCAATCAAACAGAAAACAAATACATATAAACCCAATTTTAAAAAACTTACTGAGGAATTTCATCCTCAGTGGTTCCCCAATTGCCACGGCCAGCTCCATCACGTTTAAACCCATTTCTACTCAACAAATAAGTTTACAAATCACAAACCACGCAAGATCAAACTGTTACAAGAGTATCAATCTAAAAACCGTGCTTACCCGTGACCTGTTCCACTCTGGCGGTCAAAGTTCCTACGTGGACGTTCAAAGTCACCCGACTCTCCATTGTTGAAGCCTCCACGGCGACCCCCACCGCGACCACGGTATCCACCTACAGACCCGCCACGTCTCGCTCCATCTCCTTCTTCTGAGCGTCTGTAGCCTCCAACATACCCGTTTTCACTAGCAGGACCATCATTGTTCCTGGGCTCCCTGTTGAATCCACCGCTCCTTCCACGGCCACGAACTCCACCACCGCGACCTCCTCCAGGTCCGTTCTTGCCCTCCTTCACTATTCAAATTAAAGAAAATGTAACATGTGATCAAATAAACTACATAGTTACCTATGCAATTGTAATTCTACCCATAAGTATAATAAAAACCGATTCATATACAGAAACGTTATGTCTTTATATGACATTTATATGCACAAAGACCGAAGAAATGTCAAGCACAACAAACATATATTAATGTCTTTAGGACAAGAATGAACAAGTTTGACTTTATAAACTCAACCAAACACTAACCACACCAATAAATACAATCTACTAAACTAGAATCTAGTATAAAACATGAGAAACAGAATCAAAGAGAAAAGCTCACCAGCTTGAGAAGGAGGAAGCGGCTTAGTGGGCAGCTTACCAGGCTGAACCGGAGCCGGTTTCTCAACCTTCAATGGCTTAGCCGCGACGAGCTGGTTAACATCCTCTGTGTCATCGTCCAAGAGATCGAAAGGGTTCACCGTCGCCATGAATCGAAAAACCAACTAGTCCGGATATTATCTTTTTTGAGGAATTTGTATTTTTTTTTTCTGAGGATGAAGAAACCCTTAGTGCCTATACGTATTCATGAAGAAAGAATATGAATAAGAATCTGAAGATATGATTCGGACAGCGTTGTTTCGACGCCCAACAAAGGTTGTGTGTGAGAGAGAGAAGAAGAAGCTGCGATAAGAGTAGCAAAACCCTAGCCTATGGATTCTTTCCTTTATATACCTAATCTTTAAAAACTCCATAAGTTTATCCTCTGCGTGCGTCTGTACCGTAAAAGAAATCTACGCCGTTCATAAGATTAAAATTTTAGCCACCAGACGATATTTACTGGGCCGGGCCATTTAGTAGAAAGTGTTCGCATTGAGCCATTTATACTCTGTGCGCTTATCTACCGTTAGTAAAGTCAGCGCCTTTATTCGCTGTACAAATGAATCGGTCGACGTCATATGTTTAGTTGACTTTTTAAAGTCAACACAAGCTTAATTGGGCCAGGCCCGTTAACAACACCGCTTAGAGTATATGAGCTTCCTTCACGGATCTTCTTCAGTGATTCGTTTCTTCATAGATTTGAACTCCGATCGAAAGATAGACGATCCTAAGATGGCAACAGTAGACGAGAGTTCATCAGCTAAGAGATGGCTTCCACTTGAAGCTAACCCAGATGTTATGAATCAGGTATTGTCTCATTACTCTCATCTCCCGTTGCACACAGTATTGTTCTCCGATCATTGGAAAGTTTCTAAAACTGGGAAGAATCTAGGTCAATTCAGTGATTTTGCTTCGTATTGCTGTGTGTGTGCAGTTTCTTTGGGGGCTTGGTCTTACCCCAGATGCAGCGGAGTGTAATGATGTGTTTGGTTTAGATGACGAACTTCTTGAGATGGTTCCAAAGCCTGTCCTTGCTGTTCTCTTTCTTTACCCCATCACCAAAAAGGTCTCTTCTTTATTATCATCAATTCAAAACCATCAATAATTCTGAATGTTTCTGCCTTGTTTTGGTGGATAGAGTGAAGAAGAGAGGATCGAACAAGACAAGAAAATCAATGAGAAGGTTAGTTTCTCATCAGCACAACCTGCTTTGTTTTTCATGAATTGGAACCCAGTAAGTAGTTTCGTTCTGGTTATAATGAATGGTAGGTGCATAATGATAAAGTTTATTTCATGAAACAAACCGTTGGTAATGCTTGTGGAACCATTGGTCTTCTTCATGCTATTGGCAACATTACCTCCGAAATCAAGCTTTGTAAGTTTGTTAACATCTTTATGTGTGTTTCTCCTTTGGATTAAAAGGTATAGAATAGAATTATCACTTTCTTGTTGCTTTTCTTCAGCTGAGGGATCGTTCTTGGATAAGTTTTTCAAAACCACTACCAATATGACTCCTATGGAGGTTTTACTCTCTTACTTTTTTACTCTCTCTTAAATATTGTGAAGTTTTACTCTCTCTTAAATATTTGTGAAGTACAACTAAGTTGTTTTTGTTTCTTCATGGTTAGCGTGGAAGGTTTCTTGAGAACGACAGTCAAATAGAAGATGCTCATTCAGCAGCTGTTACAGCTGGTGAAACACCGGTAAGTTCATACCTCCTATTAATTCCTAATGTGTTATGAATAAGGAAACCTGATTATTTTGATGTTCCATTTTTTTTTAACTCCCATCTTCTACAGGCCTCAGAAGATGTGAACACGCATTTCATATGTTTAGCTTGTGTAGATGGTAACAAATTCTCACATCAACAAAATTAGGAATGCTGAAACCATCAAACTCACTTCCTAACTGGCACTAAATTATATTTTCAGGGGAGCTCTATGAACTTGATGGAAGGAAAGCAGGACCAATTTCACATGGTACTTCCTCTCCAGCTACCTTGTTGAAGGTACAATAAACCCCTTCCAGTCTTTATCAATACATAGAGAGGTTTCGGGTATTATGCAATGGTTTTGTGTTCTTGAAACATTCAACTTAAATGTTTGATGTATATTTTGGGTGTTATTAAATTTACAGGATGCGGCGAAAGTAATAAAGAAGATTATTGAGAAGAATCCCGACACACTCAACTTCAATGTGATTGCCATCTCTAAGAGAACCTGAGGATGTTCCTAAAAAGCAATGCTCTTGTTTCTGAGTTTATGACTTGATGATCCATTGAGATTCTTTATCTACGTGGATTTTGTTTTACTGCATTCTGAATCTTTTTTTTCTTGTTACTGAATTTTATTTTTACTTTTATGACCATGGTTTTAAGAGAATGCATTTCTCGCCTAGTGCAAACATATAAATCGAAATATAAGAGACCACCAAACTGAATTAGTTTAATCGAAGTGGAATGTGTTGCACATCAAATCCATTATAGTGGAATGGGTCCCTACCTCTTCTTGATAATCCTTTCCCTTAATTTCAGATTCCTCCATCTTTTCTTCAACTTTCTCATCATTTTCACTGGTTTTCTTTTCTTCCTCACTGGTTTCAGTTTCTTTCCCTTCAACTTCTTCTTGATCCTCTGTTTCTCCAACTTCTTCTAGATCATTTTTCCCTTCAACTTCAGATCTTCTACCTTCTCATCATCCTCATTATTCTTCTTTTCTTTTTCCTCAATTTCTCTCGGACATTATATTAGTCTCTACTCTACTTCTCTCCTTCATTTGGTTCAACCTACACATTTCTACTTCTTCATCAGTCTCACTGTTTTCCTTGTTTACCTCATCAGTCTCACCGTTTTTTTTTCTCATCCTCTTGCTCAGTATTTTCACTATTTTCATTGTCTTTCTCACTCTCTTTCTGAGTGTTTTCACTGTTATCTTTGTTAGCCTCTTGCTCAGTATTCTCGTTGTTATTTTTGTCTTTTCCAGCCTCTTGCTCAGCATTACTTTCTCCTCCCTTTCATGTGTACCATATGAATTCACTGTCGAAAATCCATGGTTTCACCATGATTCTGCTTGTCACTTATCTTACTCTCAATAAAAGTTAGTCTTTTTTTTTTCTATTTTCTCAGCCCTATTCTCTAATGTCTCTGATTCTTTTCAATTCCACTCATCATCAAATCAATAGACTCCAGCTTTGTCTCTACCGTTAAGTTAAGTTTAACAAATGCTTCTCCCATGAACTCCAAAATCCTCTCTTCCAGACCTTGCAAGCTCGAATCTAAACCAGAAATAGAGGATCATGCTTCTGCAAATGTCACATTTTCTTTGTCTTTCTTTTTTTGTAAACACTCGTGCATTTTAATCTAATTCATATAGCTCTTCCCACCAAATAACCTTCTGCTTCACATTTAACCAATAGTTCCAAGTATCGCTTGGGCTACCCTAGCGATCATATTCTCGCTGCTTATCAATGATACGAGCCAACAACATTTCCTCACCAATAGTTGGAACCAACGCATTTTTAATGACCTGAAAATAAAACAATAAATAACATCAATTAAATTTAATGTTTTATTAGCTTCTACTATAACTGTAAACATGTACATTTGTTTCTCCAAGCGCAGCATATATGTTTTCCAAAGGAAAACCTCTCAAACTGGACTTTGTAAACCGGCTTTTGCACATCCGTGGACAGTTTTCGCAAGGATCGTCTGAATAGATTCTAAAAATTTTCCTCAGAACGGGAATACACTCAAAAGCCATAATCTAGTATATCCAGTGTTACAGTGTCAGATTTCAATTATTTAACAACTAAAACTTTTACTAAACTATATGCTTTATCTGTAAAGGGATTATGACACCAGGAAATCTGACTTTCTCATTCACTTCACCCTTCAGATGGTTCATCACGTGTTTAATCTTCTTTATTGCATCGTCGAATGTTAGACGACTCCAGAGAAATGATCTGCAAGCTTCCAAATCATCCACCATCCTTAATAATTATATGAAGGAGTCTAAATGTCTAAAACACAATCATCACATGTCTCGCTTACAACATGCAATTTTCCCCAATTTTATTTGACCTAATTTTAAAATCAAACCTTTAACAACCAAATCAAGAGAAAATTCACTAACCAATGTAAGAAATATAAGGGATAGGCTTGAGAATGATCGAGTATGTCGAAGGAGAATCGATTAGAGGCTCGATTGTGATGGAAACAGAAGAAGAACTCGGGTCTCACCGTCGCCTTTGCTAACATCGAAAGAGAGGGAGAGATGACTTAGATGAGAAAATGAGTGGCTGATGAAAAACGGTGTCGTTTTAGGAATTAGGTTAAAATTCGCGCCTAGCCTGTGTAATATTATGTCGGATCGTCAGATATTAGTCGATGTAAATTTCCATTTGTTTAAGGATATAAAGGTATTTACTAGGTTGTGTATTTAAAAATAAATAAATAAAGATACTATTATCTATACTATTAAAACTCAAGGCCTTTTTTTAAAGTGTCATTCTGTTTCAACAGTATTTACAGATCCTTGCCACTAGAATATTTTAAAGCTATGGTTTTTTATTAAATCTTTTATTTTCCAAACAAAAAAATTGAGAAAATCTTATTAGAGTCCAACCGTCCAGATATTTACAGATTCATGTCACTGGAATATTTATAAGCTATGTTTTTATTTTTTATTTTTTAATTAAACAATAAAACAGTTTAATTAAATGTATGTTACTATAATTTAGTTAAAACAGTTCACTCAGTATAATGTACACTAAATCATATCCACGTACTAAACTATGTAAACCCACAACACGTAAACTATCATTATATAAACCAAGATTTGAATGTGGCAACAACTGAACCCACCAAACGTAAACATATACTATCATATATAAGTATTTAATTAAAAACTAATATTTATTCAAAACAACGACATCAAACATAGTTCTCGAATTAACCCATATCGATATAATTAAACTGTATATCTTAAAACATATATTATCAATACGTATATCATCAAAAATGTTATATGTAGAAATCATCATATCACATCAAACACTAGCTGTAAATCTTAAAACATATATTATTACATATATCATCTAACATGTTATATGTTTAAAATGATTTTTCTAACAAGATAAGAAACAAAAAAATGAAAGCAGCATATTATATTATTGTTATAGTAATATTTTGTGTGATTTTTAATTAGAAAAAATATTTATATACAAATATTATAAAAGGTTATTTCTTATTTTATAAATTAAAATGAGTTAGTATTCATTTGTAATTAATTTAATATTATTTAGGATTTTTATTATTATAATAATATTAAACCCATAAATATTTATATTTTAAACAACAAGATATTAAAAGATATTGTTTAAATGTAATCTTAGAAAAATAGTTAAGAATATCTTTTTCATATCTTATTTTAACTTTTTAAATATTGTGTTAATATTATGTATTTATTTAATAATAAATAGCTTTGTTGTATTCAAAATAAGAAAAATTAGATAAATCATTTTGAGTTTATTTGAGAGAACCGGAGAAACGTTTATCTTTCTAATATATATTTTTTTCATACGAAAAGTTTTAGGTCTGTACAATTATAATATCATCAATAAGTGGTAACATTTTAACTTCTAACTAGATTTTGAACCCGCACATCCGTGCGGGTCTTTTTCATTTTATAAAAATATAACAAAACCTTTCAAATATATATGATTTACATTCTATTGTTATATATTGTATAATTGTATAATCTTATAATTTTAGTTATTTTTATATAATATATTGTTGTAAGTTTTAAAATAAAAAAAGTATTCATATATAATTTTTGATATAATGTATTTGTTGTGAGTTAGAAAAATATATGTTAAATTTTTTTGTATAAAAATACTATATGATTTTAAAACTTTATTATGTTTTAAAAATGAGTGATATTTATTTATTTATTTAAATATAAGAAAAATTTTAATATAATATAGAATATAACTAAATTATAAAATATAACAATTTTTATTTTTAATTAACATTAATATAGATATTTATATATATTAATCATGAAATTAAATAATGCATATCTTCTAAAAAAAATATTTAAACTTCTTAGTAAGATCTTGTTAGATATTTTCTCAACAAATTTATTACTAATATCTTAAAATATTCTTCCAATTATATATATTTGATTGATTATTATAAATAATTAAATATGTCATATTAATAAGATGGTCCAATATGACTTTTTATAGTAGATATAAATGGTACTTCTCTTTTAATAGAGAAGATTAATCTTTCATTTTTTATCCACTCTAAATATATTTGAGGTTTTCTGAAGTTTATTTCATACCTTAGCATTTCAAAAACTGAATATTATAAAAGTAGATATTCAGTAAATATTCATTAATTTTTATTTATAAATTAAAATGTTAAATTAAGATATTAAAAATTCTTAATATATATATTTAAGTTAATGAAAAGTTAAAAAATAATACTTATATCATTTGTTGTATAAATGATCGAGTTATAACTGATATTTTACGACTACAGTTTCTATCGCACTTTCATTAAATAAAGAAATTATTTCATTACTAGATGGAATGAATAATGGTTTAACATATTCAGTTCTAAAGTTAAAAATGAACTTTGACCAATGCAAAACGGGTTCCATTGTTTAATTTGTTAAGAATTTACAATAGTGTCATTATCTTTTTAACAACTACTATTCAATTTTATATAACAAATTATGAAATTATAATTTATACATGTGAGGTCTGATATCTGGGGCAAATAATTTTGTCGGATCAATTTTAAAAAATAAAAGAATTATTTAATGAAAAAAAAATCTTTTAAAAATACAATAGCACAAAGTGATATTATAAAATATTTTGAGGTTAAAAATAAGAACGAATATTTTAGCAAGATGGGTATTAAAACACAGATAATAAAACTAACGAGAAAATTAGTCTTGAAAATGTTATACAAATAAAAATATCAAACTCGAACCGAAACGGAAAAAAAATAAAACCAAAACCATACTAAAATTTTGAAAACCCAAATATACTATTGCTCAAACCCGAAAACCAAAACTAAAATTAGAGCCGCACCGATAACCGAACAAGTATCCAAATACTCGAAATATAATAAAAATATTAGTCATCATGATATATAACATATATTGCAAAACCCTTAATTACCTAAACTACCCTTTTGAATTTTCGGGGTTAATTCAATTTTTCAAAGTTTTTTTGATTTATGGCTTTAACATGACTCAAACTATTTATAATTCGGTTCCATTTTGGTTTTTACAAAAAAAAAAAAATATAAATGCAAACCGAATCCAACATTACTCCAATTGAACTGATCCGAAAAATGTTTGGTTCTTACACGGTCCTAAACATCCAAACTCAAATAACTCAAAAAATAT